GGGGGGGTACTTTTAAAGTTTTCCCGGCCCGTTAGGACCGCGTCCATCGGAGGTCTGCATCGGTCGATCCACCAGCACCAGTCCCGTGTGAACACACGAAAAGTGAAAAGCAGCATGTGCGAGTGAGATAGAGCTAAATTAAATGGCCGGCTCCAGCATCTCACTCGCACCTGTCGCTCCCGGACGCTCTCGAGGCTGGTGGTGGACCGACCGATGCGGCAGACCTCTACGGCGTCCACGCCGGCCGTCAATGCCGACACATTCATCTGCGTTGCCTCATGGCGCCTCGATTAACGGGCGCCGCGCGATGCTGCTCTGCACTTTATGGCGCTCACACGAGGACGCCGCCGGGACGCCGCCGGGACGCCGTCGGGACGCCGCCGTTGGGTCGGGGCGCACGCCATGCCGCGCCGCCGCGGCACACAATCGCACAATGCGACCGGCCCCGCCCGGCCCTTCCACATATGACGATCTGACGTCACGTGTCGCCTCCTCCGTCTCCCTCGAGCTCGAGGACGGCGACGGGGACGGATGGGCGATAAAAAGAGATGTCGTATTCCCCCCCCCCCCCGGGCCGTCGTATAACGCGCGCTTGTCCTCTGTCCTCTTGCAGTGCTGGGCAGCGAGTTCTGCTCCGGGTACAGCGACGCCCTGGGCCGCTGGAACGCCGGCTTCTACTGCCCGCCGCGCGAGGACGCCAGCGACGCCCTGTTCTGCTGCGGCGGCGCCACCTACAAGTACTGCTGCACGCAGCGGGAGCACGCCACCGGCGAGGACCTCGGCAAGTAAGGACGCGCCAACGGAACGTGCTGCTCCGTGAATTATTGCGTTATTTTGGTCGTGTTCTGGTGTCGCCTGACGGTTGGTCGCCCTGCTGCTCTCTTGCAGCTTGCCGCTGATCCTCGGCGCCGCCCTGGGCGCCACGGCCGCCCTCGCCATCATCATCCTGGTGTCGTGCTGCTGCTGCTCGTGTTGCGCGCTCTACAAGTCCAGGAACTCGCCCAAGCAGGCCAACAATGGTGAGTGCGGTGCTCCACAGAACAGGCCCCGCGTCACCTTGAGGGCCAGGAGGAGATGGGAATGGGCTCTTAAGCAAAAGTGGGCGCTCCTGTATGATAAGCAAGGCCACGGACTTGGTGATGCACTCTAATAGTCCGGCCGACATGTCCATTGCATTGGGGGCATGGCGAGGCTAGCCAGCTCGTTTCGCACAGAGCGTGACAACAGCGAATGGGCTGGGGGAAAGGGAGGGGGGGGAGGGGGCAATCGCCTCCGCGGACAACACAGAATGAGATCTGGGCAAGGGGAGTGGGAGTGCAGCTGCGCAGCGCGTCGGGACGTCCGGCGTCGCAGCTACCGTCCGCCCCGCCCCGCCCACCGCCCGGCGCGCAGAGTATCGGCGCCGGTCGCGTTGTGGAGTCTCTCCGGTGCTAAAAGGGTAGCGACGCCGACGCTCTGCGCGGGCGTCGTGGAGTATGGTATGACCCTGTCCCTGTCCGCAGGCCCCGTGTACCGCATGCAGACCTCGTCCACGGCGAGCGGCGTCGCCAACATGTACTCGTTCTCCAACCAGAACAGCCTGGCCACCACCCCCATCGACACGGCCGCCTCGCAGATCATGGTGGAGCTGGAGCCCGGCACCGGCTCTCGCACGGGCACCATGGGCCGCGGCAACACCTTCAGCGCGAGCGGCGCGCGCACCCTGCAGCGCAACGGCAGTGCGTAACCCTGTCCAGTGTCCTTTTGACTAAAGAAACAGTGTATGAGGAAGTTGCCCGATAAGAGGAACAAGAAGAAGGTGGCATTGAGGAGGTGGCGTGGCGTAGCGCCGTCCCTAAACAAAGCAGAAGATGATAGCGACAGTCTAGCAGAGGTTAGGATGCGTGTCGTTAGATTTCAAACAGTTTAGAACGGGGCTACGCATCTAGCTCTTTGGTACCACCTATACCAAAGTTTATTACGACAGTTGAGTCATTATCACTGCGTTAAAATAGTACCAATGAAATATGTCCGTACACTAACCTAAACAACGACACCGAGACGGTTTAGAGGATTGTATAAACTTACCTTTCCGAAGCCAAACTTTGCAGAAGCACTTTTTGACTCAAGATGGTTACGCCGGTCTAGTATGGACCCAATTTTTCTTTAAAGATTCTACGAAACTAGATTCATTATCACACATCCACTTCCGACAAAACACAGTATGGTCGCCGGCGTTACGATTTGTTTCGGGACGACCCTACGCCACGCCACCTCCTCAGTGCTACCTTCTTTTTGTTCCTCTTATCGGGCAACTTCTTCATTTCGGCTAACGACAAGAAGAATAGCCGGCAGAATATCAACGTTCCCGATTGGTCGAGAGCTACGAGAGGGGCGACCAATCAGGAACCTGCTTCATTTTCTACCAGCTATTCTTCTTCCTCCGTTACTCGAAATACACTATAGGCGCGGTGATGTTTAAAAGTGGTGCCTGGTTATGTCGCATTTCAGGCCACGACCCGCCGCCGCCGTACGACGCGGGCAAGTCGCACCACACGCTGCCGCACCAGAGGCACCACCACAACCCGCACCACCCGCACCACCAGCAGGCTCAGCAGGCGCAGCAGCAGCAGTACCACCCCGGCGACAGCCCTCCGCAGTCGCGCCAGCACTTCACCCTGCCGCGCTCGCACGGCGGCAGCGCGCAGGCGGCGGCCCAGCAGGCGGCCCAGCAGGCGGCTCAGCAGGCGGCGGCGCAGGGCGCCCGCAGGTGAGGGGTGGGGCCGAGTCCCGCGGAGACACCGTCACAAGTCAGCTTGTATCAAAATTAGCTGAAAAATATACCAGGTGGCTGAAGAACCCGAGGGGGCAATAACTCTGGGAATCACGCACGAGTACACGCACCGGCCCGGGAATCAGCGGGCATCAATGAGAATCACGACGGAAACCAACGGAAATCAATGAGAATCACGACGCGAATAAATGGGAATCAACGGGAAACATGGATTCCGGGAATCATGTGTACACTTGAATTTGGAGTTATTGCCCCCTCGGAAGAACCTCATGAACTTTCAAAGGTATACCGCACGCAGGCTTCGTTTGGTTTGCCTATTCTCCGTGACCGTGGCGCCTTTCCAGCCGCCCGCAGGCATATGAAGTTTAACCAAAAAAGTACAAAGAGTTTTCAGGCACTTTGCGCTTCGTAGTAATGCCGATATGATAATAATTTATGTAATCGGCAGGGACAATTTATTTTGATCTCATTTACTGTTTTCGTGTGCCTAACACTCCTGGTTCTGCCCGCAGCCCCATCAGCACGTTCCCGCAAGGAGGCCAGGGCAGCACCTTCGGCCCGCACCCCACGGCCACTCTGTCCCGGGTGCCGCGGGCCGCCCCCGCCCACCACGCCGTCCCCGTGCCCGTTGTGAGGCCGCCGCCCGGACCGCTGCCCCCGGGCCCCCTGCCCCCCGGGGGCCCCACCAGCCCCACGCAGCTGCGCAGCCCCGTGGACTCGCCGCACCGCGGATTCCAAACGCACACTCGTGAGTGCCAACAAACGAACAACAATAATAGTTCATTTACAATTTTATTGTTTACTTATTTTGGTTTTAATGGTCATAATGTTCCTTCAGTGAGGCACCCGCCGCCTAATACGGTGCCCATCAACTCCGGGGGCTACGGCATGACTCACAGCACGAGCAGCACGTTCCAGCCGTGCCCGCCGCCATCGCAGCAGCAGATGCAGCAGATGCACCAGCAGCAGATTCACCAGCAGCAGATGCAGTACCACCAGCAGCAGCTAGCCCAGGGCCTGCCTCCGCCACCAAACATTCCTGCGCCGGTCCCTATGGGGCCCCCCGGGCAGCTGATGGGACCCCCAGGCCAGCAGATGGGGCCTCCAGGCCAACCAATGGGGCCCCCAGGCCCAGGCCAGCAGATGGGACCACCCGGCCAGCCAATGGGGCCCCCAGGCCAACCGATGGGCCCTCCCGGCCCGCAGATGGGCCCTCCTGGCCCGCAGATGGGACTAGCGCCCCCAGGAGGAGGTCCTCCGAAGGGTGGGCCGATGGGCGTGCCGGGTGGCCCCACCATGGCGACCACCAACGGCGGCGCCGTGCCCGTGAACCCCAGCGAGTTATCACCCAGCGACACGCTCTATCGCTCAACCAAGTTTTGAGACCGTTGTCGCACGCCACGCCCCGCCGCACCCCGCCCCACCGCGCCCCGCCCCGCCTCGTCAGTCCCAAAGGGTGGGGTGGAGATAACGGGCTGGGCGGGGCGGCCGAGCTGCTCACTGCTCACCCTCGTGTCGTAAGGCGTCGGCAGACAATAGGCGGCTAACGCACTATACACCGCGAGAGCTGCGGACACCATAACTCTGAAACACAGCCTACATTTCCCAGAAAAAGAAAGCAAGTAGTTCCGCATTCATATCGGCCTAATTCCCAAAATCTTATTGATTGCGGGAAAAATGATATAATGTGTGAAGTTGTTTATATTGTATATAATTGATGTAAAGGTATTCGGAGAATGGGAAATCCGTCTGATTCTTTTAGTCTCTTCGTCATATTTTATGTGTACGGTATTCGTTGTAGTTGATTTACTGTTTAAGAATTTCTTTAGCGATACTTCGGCCTCAGCCTTAGTTGAGCAAGTGACACACCGCCTGATTAACCATTACAAGTAGCCGATCCTGGTTCCAGAGTCGCTCGAACATATCGTTCGTCGCTCAGGCCTGATCTTTAGAGTAAACTTAATTAAATTCAATAAATTGGTGATATTGATGCTAAGTCGACTTAAATTTAATTATGAGTAAGTTTTTAATATATTGTCAATTTTTTACCCTCTTGTTCTCAAAAGTCTGATGCACAAATCTCTTTTGATTCATGTAATTTCTTCTTGAAATAGTTATTTGTAGACAAAACTACAACCAAAATTTAGAGGCTCAGTGGTTTGACGAATAAGAAATTTTACAGACTGCTGATCAAATTGTAAGATTGTTCAGTCGCCAAAGTTATCAATTTTCCCGTTCCTCATCTCTTAGCTCAATTTTCGGTGTGGAAAGTCTTATGACTTAAGGCACACAGTGCACAAGGAGACTGATTTTATTTCCTCACTACTACTACTATCAAAAATCTAATTTCGAATTTTTTGTTCGGTGCTTAATTATTCATGTCTATGTGAAGGGTTTTTGGTCGAGTTCACACAGTACCGATCAGAGGAAGCGCTCAATAAGAATTGTAAATTAAGTAGGATTTTCAACGGTCTCGATTTTGATTGATCGACCAGCATGTATGTCGGGTTGTGTGAAATGTAGCTTGAGTTAACACGTTGAATGTGGTTCGCCCCATGCCCATGCCCCTCCCATTCATTGTGGCTGTGCTGTTATTTCAGCCCAACGTCCGTCTAGACCAGTTTGCTCGCTTTCTCCCAATCGCAGCCAACACGAAGATTTCGAACGACCTCGACTTCTGTTGCATTCCCGAGTGCAGAGAAGGCAAGGGCCAGGGCCTTGCCTTTCGCCCTTGCTTCACCCCACTTGCTTGACTTGCTTGGGTGTCGCGCTCAATTGTCTCGGATCAAGTCGTGTTCTCCGTCTTTTGTCACCGCTGCATTTAACGTGTTACTATTTCCATGTTTTTGTCATACTGTTTTTGGCGAGAATATGTTTAAGTCTAATTTGTTATTAACGTAAAAACTCATGTTTAATCACGAGTGAGGTACTTAGCTTTATTTTTCGTTTTGATCGAGCAGTGCTCGCTTGCCGGCTAGGTAACCAAAGAAAAGTAGTCGAATGAGCCCGAATCAAACATGCGTCTGTGAGGTTCGGGCGTCGGTTGAGATACCAATAGTTTTTTGAGCTCTTTAGATAAATTGTGTATTCGTAGATTAAGGACGAATGGGCGACTTGGCAGCCGCCAGATGTTGTCATTTTCTTAGTTACATGAAAAGATCGAATTATACTTAAGCAGAGGTGAAATAATGGGGACCAAAGACGTGTACCTTTGGTATTGTGCTCTCATCAGCCCTACAGAAGGACGATGACTGCAAAAAAACATCAACAAAAGCTGCACAGAAAAGCAGGGCTATCGCGGTCCACTGCTGCCGGCCCACCCGATGGACCTCAGCCCCCACCCCAGCCGGCTAGCTCGGGTTGGTTTGGTCTGCGGCCGAGGTTCGGCCTCCTTCGTACCCTCCCCCTTTTGTCTCGTTGACAGCAAAGGCGGACTGTGGAGGATTAGCCCTGCCGGGGGATTTGCCTACTCACTGAGGCAAAATGCCTAAAAACTGCCCGTGCGGCCTCACAGTTCCTGGCCAGTCCGGCCCTTGTCGACGGGGTAGAGGGAGGAGGAGAGGTGGCGGGACAAGTGGGTCGGACTCTGACTGGCTCGACTAAGGGATCTCCCAGAAAGCACGTCCTTCATTCGCCGTTACCCGCCTGCAAAGTTCAGACTCGGCAAGCTCTCACGGCGCCTGATAGGTAGGCAACATCTTGCCTGCAGTGCATGCGTGAACTGCGGGGTGGCCTACCCGGAGTCTCGCAGGCGTCTAGCTCCCGTAATTTGCCTTACAATAACAGACGTACTTTCTGGACGATCCGTTACCGAAGCTAGCTGCTATGAGAAGCTCGCAGTGAACCGTCATAGCCCTGGGGAAGAAAGCAAGTTTCCGTGCACTGTTTCTTAAAGATTGAAGAGGCGTCTTAAAATCGTTAGAGGGTTCAACATCACTGCTCTCTAGTCACCTTGTTGCCTTCCCTAGTCATTATTTGTAATGTGTAAGATAAACTGTAAATAAATCGTATATTTACGGAATCTTTCTAATGAGAGCTTGAGAAATGATTTTGCTCCGCTGGTCGGTGATAGTCCTTAGAACGGACAAAAAGTTCAGTTGACATTACATGACGTATAGAGATGTGACTGTTACGGACTGTGACCCAAAGATATTAAAACATTCAGCATTTCAATGTTTTCAAGTTTACCATTCTGGTCTCTGTTCCTTTATATCAGAAGCGTTCTTAGCCATGTAGACTCTACTCTATTGTGTGCTTAAACAATTATAACAATCTCATCTTCGGATCTTGTACTGTGTAGTCTAAGGGTGTACTGATTTTTTCAATGGATTTAATTGTACTTTTCGCATTATTTATTTATGATTGATTAAGTCAGCTCCAATTCTTTTAATGTAGGGATGTGTATGATGAATATCAAGTATTAAATTAATCTGAGTAGCCAAATAGCCCTCTTCATTTCATGCGTACAAACACTTAATGAACCATTTATCACAGTTTAATGTGTTCCAATAAAAAAAGAAAACTAATACATGATAAGGAGAAGCATTTCATTTATATACATGGTGTATCCCTACATTATCACAGAGAATAAAATTAATTTTGCAAGTACGGTAACGTAGAATGAGCGCTCCCCGTAGAAGAGGGAGGGGGTGAAGGCACATTGCAAAGGGCAAAGCTCTTTTCTCTCTTATCAGCAACGTACAATATGACATGGTATATGATAGGAAAGGCGCGGGGCAGAAGCTGCAGCTGCAGCTGGCCCTAGACGTGTTCTATATGAATATGCAGCTAAGTTTCGATTTAGATCCCAAAGAAGTCTACGGGCGAAAAAGTTTAAAGGTATCAAAAAATGAACAACATTGGTTCCCTGGTGAGCAAATTTTACCGATCCTAACTTGAAAGGCACCTATAGAAAATGTTAACGTAGCCTACACAGATTTGATATGTTGTTTGACAATAATACAACAATGTGAGTGTATTATAATTCATCAATCTTTCCCAGTCGACTCAAGGTAATAAGGGGTAAATGGGCAACAACAAGGTGTGTCACAAAATATTTTTACAGGCCAGCGCGTCGTCTGGGTTTCTGGTCCACCGCCCAGACATCAGAACAGTAAAGTCATAATGATGTCAAGATGACATCATTGTCGTCAAAAGATGACTTGTGGGACACAATAACGCCCTTTCCGACACCATTAAAACTTTCTTGCTCGCGTTGCTGCGCATACATCTAAATCAGGCGTTTTATCTCGATAAGCAGCTTAAATTACAAGTTTGCGCAGCTCAGCGGGGCCCAGGCCGCCTTCACCTGACCGCCCCAGCGGGGGGCACCTGCTGCAGGAACAGTCGGACGTTGCCCTGCAGCGGTGGCAGAGGGGGCAGCTGGACGTGGTGGTGCTGTTGGGAGCGGGAAGACATCGACGGCGTCCTCGACAGCGCCCTGGCGTGAGCCAGCGGGTCGAGGTAGGGTCCGAGCGGGCCCAGCGGGTGGTGGAAGGGAAGCGGGGGCGAGTCGGGGCTCAGCGACAGGTCGTCGGGAAGCTGCTGGATGGGCACCCTGGGTGGCGGGACCGCGCGCGGACTCCGCGGCGTCGACGGCGGCCTCGGTGGCACCTCGTCCTGGGCGGCAGACTGCACGGACTGCGCCAGGTCGCACGAGCACTGCTTGACGCGGCGCAGCGATGATATGTCGCTCTCGCCGCCCCAGGAAGACCTCAGGGGGGACGTCTCACTCCTGCACGCAAACATGAGCGATAAGAGATAACAATAATTTTAAAACTTTGTCGGATTTTTTTTTCGTTCTAACAGCATCAATAATTAAATACGTCCGTTTTGTACAAAAACTATTTGTTTGTTACGTATACCCACCACCACTCGAAGGGCTCGCCCTCCTCTCGCTCGGTGCGCGCGGGCCGGTACCCGGGCGGCTTGGGCGGGGGGTCGGTGAAGCGGCAGTAGGCCGCCACCACCAGGCAGATGAGGACCAGCACCACGGAGATCATGCCGACGAGCAGCGGGCAGTCGTAGGTGGCCGGGATGGTCTCCACCACCTCGGCGTCCATGTCGGCGATCGGCGGCAGGTCCAGGGTCCAGGGGTCGCGGTGGCGCGAGCGCACCGTGTTGGGGTCCGGCTCGCAGCGCGCGCGCAGCGGCGAGTACTGCCTGCCGACGCTGCACTCGCACAAGTAGTCCGACAGCGAGCACACCATCCCTGCACGAGGAAAAGCAGAGGCTGTGGTGCACCCTCGCCACGCTCCTCGCGGTGTCCAAGTCCAGCTCGATGATCACTCGCGGTCGTGGAGTCCGGGGAGGGGGAGGGTTAAGTCGGTCGAGTCCACTCCGTGTGAGCGCCAAAGCCACGTTAGTGACCGCCCCCCCCCCTCTCCCCTGTCCCCCCGGGTGGTACCTTGTGCGTACCTCATTACGGAGTGCGGAGTGCGACACAGCACCCCTCCCCTCCTCCACCCCGGGGCAGGTTCCTGAGCGGCGCCGCTTCCTCCTACCCCCCTCCCTGCTGCGAATGCCCGGGCGCTACGCGGTAAATACCTCCGCGAGACAGCATCT